TGTCGTCTCAGCAAGTGCCTCAGGGGTGTCGGGTTCGAAACTGTCGCTGTCGATGTGAAGGATGCGCCTGGGCACCCTGTGCTGAAGCTGGACTTGGTGTCAGCCGCGGGAGTGAGCGTACTTTGGGACATTCTCAAGTCTGGGCAACTGTTGTATGTTCACATGGCACCACCGTGCAGCACTGCCTCCGCTGCCAGGTTCATACCTGGCGGTCCCAGGCCGTTACGGAGTTATGCCTGTCCCGATGGTGTTGAAGGTTTGAGCTTTGCGCATCGCTGTCAGGTGTCAAATGCCAATCGCCTGTATGCACTGTGCAGGGACATCGTGTTGTTTTGCGAGTCAAAGGGCATCGATTGGAGCATTGAGAATCCTTCCAGCAGCTTGTTTTGGATGACGTCACCTCTGTGTGATTTGGCACGTAGTCTGGGCCCCAGATTGCGCACTGTTGTCTTTGACCACTGCTGCTGGGGTGGTGAGCGGCCCAAGCGCACTGCACTCTGGACGAGCCTTGGGTGTCTGTCTCCACTTGAGCTGCTGTGCTCTCCTGAATTGGGGCACACCCACAAACCGTGGGGTAGACTCCCTGATGGATCTTGGAGTACTAAGGTGGAGGCTGCTTACCCTTTGCCGCTTTGCAAGTTCTGGGCTTCGCTGTTGTGTGACCACTTCGCGCTGTGTGCAGGCAGGAGGCATTCAGGTGCAGGTGTCAACTGGTCGTCCGCGTCTGTCCTGTTCGAGACCAGACGCGCTCTGGGCTTGTTCCCAAAAGGACGGCACCCTAGTGAGGTAGCAAACCCCTTCTCTGAGAAAGTTTCTGTCAGAGTGCCTTTGTCAACAAACGCTGCCCTTCTGGCCCCTGGCTCATCTGCAGACATATCAGGTGCGCCCAAAGGTTGTAAGGTTTTAGGCGCTCGGCGTGAGGCAGAGTTTTGGCTTGTAGAGATCGGGGCACCTTGTGAACCCGAGGACTTCATGAAAGCCGCCAGCTCGGTTCGGCACCCGTCTGAGGTTGATCCTGCACTTCCTGCCGACCTTGAGCATGTTGTTCGGTGTGTTTCCACCGTCAGTTGCGCTGAACTGGCGGCTCGCAGGTGTAGGTTTTTGCATGGACTTTTGCAGCGCGCCCAGGAACTTGCGCCTCTGGAGCATCAGCTCCACCAAGGTTTGGCTCCGCACTGTCGCAAGGTCTTACAGGGCAAAAGGCTGCTTCTTCTTGGAGAGCTGTTGCGGGGCATGGGACACGAGGACTCTCACCTTGTGTCTGACATCTGCTCGGGCTTTCGCCTGACCGGGTGGGTCAGGGCCAGCAACGTGATGGAGCCCAAGCTTCGTGCACCCACTGAGTCTGCTGCCAACTTGTGGCGTCGGCGCAGCGACCTGAATGGCCAGGTGTGGCGACAGACTGTCTCTACAGGTTGTGATAGTCTGGACAATGAGCTCTGGGAGGCTACTGTGAAGTATTCTTCCAGTGGCTGGGCCATGTTGCTGCCTGCATCTGCCTGTGCTCCTGCCGACCTGCTTCTGAGTCGCAGGTTTGCTGTAGTCCAAGGGGATCGTGTACGTGCGGTTGATGACTTCAGCTTCAACGGGTTGAATGACACGCTTGGCACCTGTGAAAAAGTCACCACCATGTCTACTGTACACACGACTGCTCTGGGCCTTCGGCTGCTACGAGTGGCTAAGGCGCGCGGCATGACCCTGTTGGGGCGCTGTTTCGACTTGAAGAGCGCGTATCGGCAGCTACCGATACACCTGAATAATCTGCCGTACGCTGCTGTTGCTGTGTGGTGCCCTGAAGCACAGACTGTTCGCATTCTGCAGATGTTTTCGCTCCCCTTCGGAGCCGGCGGCAGTGTGCCAGCCTTTGTCAGAGTAGCTCTAGCGTTGTGGCGAGTACTTTGCCGTTGTCTTTCAGTGCCTGCCACACTGTTCTTTGACGACTTTACCTGCATGGTGCTGTCTCCTGACGCTGCTAGCGCTGAAGCTTCTGTGCATCTGCTCTTCAGGATCCTTGGATGGCGCCTGGCCATGGACGGCTCCAAAGCAGCTCCATTTTCGGCACTGTTTCAGTCCTTAGGTGTGGTTTTCTGCCTTCACCCAGGTGTGGACTGCAGCCTCTCTGTCACCAACACTGAGGCTCGCAAGGCTGAGGTTGCAGCCTGGTGCTTAGAGAAACTTAGGGCCAAGTGTGCGACACCAAAGGAGTGTGAACAGTTTGCTAGCAGAGTGAGGTGGTTAGCAGGTCAGGTTTTTGGTCGCTCTGCCTCTGCTGCACTTCGTGTTCTGTTGCGCGCTGGTCGTGAAAGCCGCTCTTTCACTGCACGGCCTTTGTCGGCAGAGCTGGCTTGGGCCATCAGGTGGATACTTGAGAACATACCCAAGGGTAAGCCGCGACGGTGGTCGTTGGGTACCAGAAAGAAGTTGCATCTGTTTACTGACGGTGCTGTTGAGGGTGACGCTGCCTCTATAGGAGGTGTTCTTTGCGACGGCTGGTGCCAGCCGCTCACTTGGTTTGGGTGCCAGGTTCCAGCCTCAGTGCTCGGAGGATGGTGGTCGTCCGGCACGGACCATCCCATCATTCAGTGTGAGTTGCTTGCAGCCGTGGTCGCCTGCCATGTTTGGTGTGACCTGTTGTCTGCTGCCAACGTCTGCCTGTGGGTGGACAATGAGGTCGTTCGTTTTGGCATCATAAATGCTTTCATACGGCCGCCGTCTGCCATGCACATGTTGACCAGGCTTCTGCAGGCTGAGGTGTCTGCCGACATTGGCATGTGGTTCTGTCGTGTGCCTTCGCACAGCAACCCGGCCGATGGGCCCAGTCGTGGCGAGACTCCGCCATTCTTGGCGCAGGCCCGACAAGTGAAAGTTGACGTGGGGCTTTTGGTTGAGCTGGCCAGCGCTGGTTAAAGGTCCTGGGGTTCGTCGGTCATCGCTGGCATTTTCTGTACATGTCTGCTGGCATCTGTATGCCCTGCCACATGATCGACACCTGTCTACGCCTGTAACGCTGTACGGTTCTCTGTCTGACTGGCAGCTTGTGCTGCTACAGCTTGTGCTGGCCCCACGTGTTTAAAAGAGTGCAATGCATGCAATGCTTGGTGATTAGTAGAGCACGCGGCAATAAGTTTGCTATGTGCAACATGCGACTTTATTGCCTGTGCGGCCATTTTGGCTTAAGTTCTGTTTTTCTGTTGCCCGCCCTCCCATCCCTATGAGACAGGACTGTGACCCCTTCTGGGACCAGGGTCTTGGTTTTGGTCCTGTACGACGGGCAGAGCGCAGACTAGACCTGCCCTGGGAGTCTGGTGTTTTTGGTTTTCTCAGTGGCGAAGCTTGCAGCCTGGAGAACTCGCTGCAGAACTTCCTGCGCCTGCCTCAGCCTGTGCCGAGGCCTCGGACAAGTACACTTGCTCCTACTGCTGGCCCCTGTGGGTCTGCTGGTCCTGGGACCTTACAGCACGACTTCAGGTCGCCTCGCCCAGCTAAGGCCCTGACGTGGAACTGTCGTGAGGAGAGCTCCAAGCGTGTGCAGGCTCTGTGCAAATGGTCCAACTTGCTGCGCATGGAGCCTGACATGTTTTCTGCCTCGACTGTTGCCAAGTTGCCTGACGGTGGCGATCAGGCTGTTGTCGAGCACTTGGATGTCTTGTTCAGCAAGAAGAGTACCAACACCTTACTGACTCGAGCTTTCCCTCTGACCCGTCTGGTGCTTTGGCACAGGCGCACCAGTCCTGAGGAGAGCCTCTCTGAGTCTTTGCTCTGGCTCCACTGTCGTTGGCTGCAGGGGTGTGCAGCTGCTTCCAGCATTGACGGCCTGGTGAGCAGTTTCAACTTCGTACATGGCACCCTGGGCCTCCGACTCTCTGTGCAGGAGCTCTTGTCCGCACGAGTCAAGGGCCTTGCTCACGCTCACCTGAAGACTAAGGAAGACGTCGACCAAGCTCCTGCTCTCACTGTGGCTCAACTAAGGTGGTTGGAGTTCTACGCTGCCTCGGCTGACGACCTCTACGAGAAGTTGGTGGCCTGTACGCTTTGCTTCATGGTCTACGCGCGCGCCCGTCGCAGCGACTTGGCAAGGGCGACTCACATTGACTTCGACCTGACGCCTGATGGCTTGGATGGCTTTGTGGAGTGCCGTGTCAAGAACCCGAAGCAGGCTAAAGCAGCCAGTCGTCGCAACCTGTTCTTGCCCCTGACGGCGCTGTTCACTGGCTTGTCAACGGTGCCCTGGGGTGCCACCTTTTTTGGCTGTGCGCCAAGCCAACGGTCTGTCGACGTCTGGTGCACTGGACCATCCGCTGTTGCCTGCTTTGTCGACTGGAGGTCACTGGCTTCCTGAGTGCGTCAGCAGTGGGCAGCTGACGCTTTGGCTAAGGAGCATCCTGGCCAAGGCCCCTGATGCTGACCTCGGCCTCATCGCCAAGGTTCGCTCCCACAGCTGCAAGGCAACGCTGATGAGCTGGGGTGGCAAGGCAGGTCTGAGTGATAAGACGTTGAACTTCCTGGGCTACCACAGCCAAGGCGCGAATATGGCCAATGTCGGGTACAGACGTGACGCTCTGGCTGGGCCTCTTCGCGAACTTTGTGGAGTTGTTAGCTCTGTTAAAGCTGGAAAGTTCGCACCTGACGAGACACGCAGTGGACGCTGGCATGAGCCTGCCAGCCCTGTCTCCTCTGCGTCTGTGGTGACTTCACCGCCGAGTAGCGCGGAGAAGAAGGGGGCTGACTTACCTGTCGTTGACACCAGTAGTTCCAGC